GGGAGCAGCTCCCCTCATCGCTGAGCAAAGGGAAAGCAGGAGCAATTCTCGCCAACATTGTTGATTCCGTACATCGCGCGGACCCAAACGAAGCCTTCAAGATGGTTTATAAGGCCCTACCAAACTCCGAGTCAGCACCTGCCAGCAACAGCAGAAGCAACCACTATCAGGCTGAGGAAGCCGGCGTTGTGTGCGCAGACGAACCTCTTACAAGTTCTACATCTGGCATGACCCACAGCAACTTAGCTGCATGTACTCGTCGGCGCTCTCTATACCCCTCTCCACTCTCCTAGACCGGATCCTCCAAACCCTTCCCACGTAAACATTCTTCTTCTATCAATCCCTGCCCCCGATCCCCACGACTCGCTTGTAAGAATATTATTGACCGATTGTTTAAACTTGCGACCCGTATCCATACAAATGTAATAGCCCGATGAGAATTTATCGAAAGCCTACATATGTTCGTCACTTAATCTTCGAAAATAAAACAGTTGTTTTATGGAGCAACACGCAACACCATCCGTTTGCGGCACACACTCCTTTTTCAAACTCGGTGACTGCCAGGACTTGGATGAAGGCGTCGAAAATCCAATTGAGGGGAAAACTATTCGTCTGATACAATCTTGATTACGTTAAGTTGAAGCGATGCCCCTTAAGCAGTCCAACTGATTGACATCGCACTTGTCTTTAAATTCAATCCCTCCTTAATTCTTGTGGAGTTTGCCAGAGTATCTTACTAATTACATGTGGTTAGAGCGGACGCAAGAAGTAAACAAATTCTACCCCCGGGACAATACTCTCAGGCTTCAGTCCAATTTTGAGCTTTTCCGTTTTTTGAAAATTGAATGGGAAAAACCACATTGATCGGCTGCTTCTCTGAATAAAACCGTTGAAAATAGGTGCACCCTTAGTTTATGGAAATTCGCGAAATCCCTACGTGTTACGAGAAATGCACTGTCATGGAACGGATAAGGGACTGCACACTATTCCAGGCGTATGTTCTGCCCATCTTCTTAGCGCAGTCCCACGTAGGCATCCATCGCCACCTAAAGGTATAGGCAAAGACAGTTTCATGAATCGCGGAAGTTAGGACAGTCCGTCCATCCGCCAGTTTCAGACTGGTTCTCAATAAATTTGCAGGCAGCAAGCTATCTCCATAACGGTTATTAACACCGTGTGACGAAATATTGCAATCTACGTAAGTGGTTAGGGCCAAAATGCTCAGGGAAACACAATGCACTACAGCATTTTACCTTGCATTTATCCCACCCTTATCTGGAGCTTCAATATTATGTCACCAAAACCGAGGGTTCAGGACGCAGCTTCCTCATTCTCAGACATGGACTCCGAATCCCATGAGCAGGACGGCTAGGGACAGTTTATGTGCCTTTTACCGACAGTACGGGGAACGAAAACGCCGCGTAATGCTAATGGAATCGCGTTAGATTCCAGGGAAATTAGAGTTTATCTAACACGTACGATCTATGCTAAGTTTAGGCTCGGTGAAAAGTTAAAGATAAGCTGAAAATTAGGGTTACGGTGTGGGTTCGGACACGCGCACTGCCATCTGTACTACAGGGTGGGAGGAGACACAGAAACGATCCCCAGCAGCATTTTCAGTATTCTAAGGTCACTATTTTTTGTTTTGTGAACTACTCTCATCAGAGAAACGCAGTTTAATGAAAATGCACTTGGAAAGCAACGAGGAATATGCAAACATGAGAAAAGCGCGCTACCAACGGAGAGAGCAAGGGAATCGCGATACCCCGGAGCCGCATAATACTGATACCGTAGGTTCAAGGAAAATAAAGACAGGTGGTAAATGCCATTCATTACAAATGTGAGAGGCGAGAAAATACCGAGTAAATAAAAATAATTACAAAAGCTTCATAAACATGGCTCATTCGGTGCTATCTGTGGGGGCTGGTGAGTCATCAACATCGTCAGTAGCGTCCATGCTCTCCTGCGCCGGCTCCGAGGCTTCCACCAGATCAGCATCCTTTGAGGTTCCGGGTGACGGCGGCAGTGGTGAGGGTGAAACGGTGACCTCTTCAGTGGGGGTCGCCTGGTCTGCCTCTTCCGCCACCTCCTCCTCTTTCTCGTCAGCCAGCTTCTCCACCGCCTTGGGTTCAACAGGTGCATTTGAGATCGAGGCGGGAATCCGAGCTTTAGCCTTCTGATTGCGTGCAGTATACAGACTGATGAGGGTTTTGACCCGTTCTTCGTACATCTTGCTCACGTAGTTGGCCATCTCAGGCATGTCCGCCGGCACATAGGCCGGTTTATCGGGAAGCTGATGTACAGGACGAAGTGTCTGAGAGGATGGTGCACGGGGATCCTGAAAGACATATTTTCAGGGGAAAAAACCTGTAGGTTACTTGGCGAAAGACGACGCAGGGGGCCGAACGCAAAAGCATTTAAAAAACAACGGAAAAGGTCTCGTGAGGAAATTGAAAAAAAGAATGGAATCCATATGAATGCGAAATTTCAGGCGTAAGCAGTATCGAGCAAACTAATTTATGAAAAAAACGCAGTGCCCAGGGAGAAAATGACAACAAAATGAACCAGTTCACATAACGAACTTACTAGTACAGACCCTAGGCAGAAATTCTCTGAGAACACGTCTCTAGCCATTTTCATAATAAATTTAAAAAGGCATTAAAGCTTTTCGCATTCTCGGAAGCTTAACTCCCAGCCACTGTGCCCTTACTTACTTAAATGGCAGAAGACAGGGTGTTTTGGAGTCCTACATGAAGCTAGAATTCAGATGTAACAGCGAAACTCGATAAATTAAGCCTTGTTAAATGTTCATAGGGTTAGGTTGTCCCCTTCGGTCTATTTAAAAAAACCCTGAAATCTATCAACGATCGTTCCTGGTAGGGTAACGTTGGGTCAATACATCCACAGTATCAACAGGTGGATATTTAAAGCGAGCTGATAGTTTTTGCCGCGATGCGCTGGCACTGAGAGGCCTATGACTGCGGGGAGGACACGGGGTGCTGGTGAGCTCCCGAGTGAATTGCAAACAACAATGGTGGAAGTAATAATTAGGATAAATCGACCGCAGTAGGTCTTTGACCTTCCAGATTTTGACATGCAGTAACCTGCATTTCTTAAAAACTCAAACGACTTATTGGGCGTAGAAAGTCCTTTTTAAAACTAAATATTTTTTGGACATGGTAACCAGATTTCACCCATTGATGGTTATTAAAAATCCTGGCACGGAAATGGGAAAAGGTGACCTCAAAAAGACCATTAACCAACAAAATACCAGTGGTCGTGTCGATAATAAGCGGCCTTAGTCTAGCGTTTGCAGAATTGCAGGAGGGATAGAAGGTATGAAACACAGATGAGGGTGTCCTCAAGAATTTCGAAAGGCGCAATCTTTACCTGCCAGTTTTCCCAGGGCGTAAGATGAAGGGCTGTTGGTCGTGGAGCCGCGGAGCCACGTCTGCCTAGAAGGCGATCAAAGGCAGGACGCAGTTCCTGACAGGTGGCAAACTGCTCCACGCGAGCAAAGATGTACATTCCAAGACGAGCACGAGACAGAGCGACAACCAGACGTCGAACGTCGCGAAGATGGCCAACAGCAAGAGTGCGCACGAGTGAGACCAGGACGTAGTCATTTTGTTGACCCTAAATGTAGTATTGGACAGGAAAATGTTGGGTAAGCGGAGCTCAGTGGTGTAGCAGATTTCTATGGAAATAAACTACTGCGAGGTGAAAATATATCAATACGCACACACGACGCACCTGAAAGCGATCCACAGTGGTGACACATTGCGGCTTTCCTAGTAGAGGATTCGAAGCACAGCGAGCTTCAATTACATCTCGGATGAGGTGCTTCTGGCCATTATAAGTTGTCAAAATGGAAATTCGCTCTGCTGGGTAGCCCAGAATGCGCATATACATGTAAGTTGCGACAACGTACTCAGCCTCAGCCAGATTTTGGTAGAAGTAGGGGCTGGGCTCGGACTCGCCAATTCCTGTACAAAATAAGGACAGATTTGTTAGGGAAAACGATGGACCGAAGGGGATGGAACCACACAGCCAACTTTGAGAAATGCTGACGGTTGGTGTAAGGGTGGGGGAAGAAACGAAAGTAAGGACTTCGGTACTATTGCGATATTTAGTATCCTCTGGAAGGCCTAAATCAAATGTAATTGGTCCAGTCATTTACGCAAGCCACTTACTCGAAAGCGAACCATACTCCAATAAAACATGCAATACTTGTTGGCAAGACTGCACTACTGAGCTAAAAAACCAGCGGCTTAGAAGCACTCATGACCGACTATCGGGAAAAATGAGTGTACCAAAGTCTCAAGAAATAGACGCGGTAAATCAAAAGAGGAAAGGGGAATACCTCGGAAGTTCGGGAAGTTCTTATTGATTCAATACCGTAACTCTGAAGAAATGGACCGGTTACTTAAGCGGTACAAACGTCTGTTCCAATGTGGACAGACTTACAGGAGACAACTGGATGAATCGGTACCCCCACCCCTTCACCAAACGAACTGCTTCGGGGTTGCGTTGGCGATATTGGTTGGTACCATTATTGAGCAGGCTGTGTTGTGTCCATACGAATTCTCAATTGCTGTCTAATAGGCGTGTGGGCCCCTGCAAGGCGCGGGCTCATGTCAACTAAATTATATATGACGAGAAAGGCTCCAAGCTGACGCTGTAATCCTGTTCTTCCTATTAACTTAAACAGTGCTGACCTGAGGGGTAGCGCAGTACCCCTCTGAAACGACGGCCGCAATGGCCACTCTTGATGTGGCCTCCCTGGCACCTACAGTTTCGGCGAGACCTGCATGTGTTGACGCTGGCGGGGACATGGCAAACGAACCACACTGAAAATCGCATGAGTTATCTTAGTGGCTGCTACATAAATTCGCAGCAATTAAAGGGGAATTGCGCGTAACCATACCCCTGGAATGGGATCAAAGAGAGAACGCTGTCGTTCTTCGTGTCCTAGGTGGAGTATGTGAATTAAAATAAGATTACTTGTCCTGCCAATGAAGCAGACAATCAGCACTGCAGGTACACCTGCGGAGAAGACGGATCCGTCTATGGAGTTTTCATTGGTCGGGCAACAGTAAACATATCGGGAAGTCGAGCCGCCTGCTTAGGCAACAAATAAACGGTCCACTATAGCTTTTATTTGTGGAGACCT